ACGACTTCCCAGTTACTTAAAAAAGATCGACAAAGAAAATAAATATGCCAGTAACTAGAGCTACCTCTGCCAACAAATAACACAAATGAACACAACAAATTAACAAACGACCGAACTACAACAATAATAAGCTTCTGGTTCTAAAAATATTAATACAACTGAAAACACTTCTCTCAAAAAACAAAAAATTACCACCATTTCAAACGAACAACCTAATGATATCCCAGTGCCTAATATTATTACTAATCAAACTCCTGAAACTGTTATCCCAACACCTATAGAAACCCCACAAACTTTAAAAGATACTGAAACTTACAAACCAGCTGACATGGAAGTTGACCCAACTGATACTTCAATTGAACAACAAACTCCAATTTTGCCAATACTTATTGCAAACGACTCCATGCACGCTAAGAATAATGATGAGTACTTGTTTAAAGACACAGGTTTTGATTACAAACTTCCCAACAATGTCAAAGGAAAAAACAAACAATCTTGGGACGACGAAGTCTCTGAAAATAAGTCACGTGAACAAGAACAAAAAGGGGCTACATACAATATTATTATTGTACCAACGCGTTTTTACATGACTGATAATGCGTCTGATATAAAAAGCAAATCTATTGCTGAAAAACGTACCAACATCAACTCCTTATTCATCCGCTATAATGGTTATCAAGGTTCCAACTACATTTCCAAAATGAGAAAATTCTTTATCTATTTTCACATAATGGAAGAACTCCAGCATGCAATTAAGGATATTCAAGAAACATAACATAATCTGATCTTCACAATCATGGACTCAGCCCAAAAACAGATTAAACAAGATACTGAAAAAGAAAGGACCCTGAAGATTTCTGACATCCATTTGTTCGTCAAATCTAGTGTATTATGTAATTACTTCACCAAATATGGCACAATCACCCACTTTTATATGATCATCTGTGGTTCATGACAAATTACTCTTATTGTTTTTGAAAAAACCGAAACTATCAAACCTTTTTATGACAATCATTGGTCTATCCAATTTCTGGAAAATGCTTTACGTGTTGAACTGACTGATTTAGACCCTATGCAAATTTTCAGTTTTTTCATCATATGTAAACTTTATTTTTATCCAATAATATATATTAAAAAAATTTTTTTTTCTTACTTTTCGAGTTAAAACTAATATATCAATATAATTTTTTTGTGGTTTATTAATAAAAAAGTTAAAAGGATTTCTTCATAAAATTGGTTCTTTTTTATTGTTTTAACTTTACGAATCTCAAAAATAGAAAACTTAACTAGCAATATAAGCAAACTTAACCTTCAAAATTATAATATTGATGACTATAATACTATAGAGGAAGAATATGGCTCTGACTTTAATGACGTTAATGAGAATTTGGATGATTTAATAAATAAGATAGACATGTTTGAGTATAGTAATACTGGTTTAAACTATAAAGAAAATTCAAATAATCCCCATTTTTTTCAACTAAATACAAATGCACTTCAATCTGCTCGTTATTTTTCAACCATTTTAAACGAAACTGATAATATAGATGATTATATATTAGATTTAGATAGTAATTTTGATAACAAATTTATAATTTTTATGACAACAGAACAGATATTACCAATGAAATGCAATCAAATTAGATTTTCAAACTAACAAAGACAACCAAATTTACCTCTTGTATTTTAATTTGATAATATTAATAGTAAAATTCGTCCTTGTGAAAATTCAAAAATTTATATTATATAAAAAATATTTTTGAAACCTGGAAAATTGACAACAAAATGATTCATAATGTAAATGATGATTTGGCTTCTTTGGAAGTTTGCTATTCACATCAAATGTATGATCAAATTAAATTGCATGTAAAAAATGCAAAAGGAACTAAGGATTCATCTTTGAGTTTTATTAATAGTAGAAGATGTTTTTTTTGTAATATTAATAAAAGTTTTTATATTCGTAGTGAGCAATGTAATCAATATTCTTGAATGTGCAATTTACAAGTTCCTTGTAGTGGTCAATATCATTATACTTCTTTAACAAATATTCATTCAATTTTATATCCTAGTTTATCTAATAGAAAATCAAAATATACATGTATATATACTTCTTGTTATGAAAAACATGGTGGGCATTTTCATCAAAGATCTGGAATAAAAGGAAAAGTTAGTGTAATTGTCAAGAAGATTCTTTCTATAAAGATGATATTATATGAATTACCTAATTTTCAAGCAGAATGATCTCATAAAGCAATTAATCTTTACAATTATTACTTTTACAAAAATTTAATAATACATTACAAACATCTACACTTACTTTCATAGAATTCAAACCTTTTGATACACCCAATCCTTTTATTATTAAAGCTGCTTTAAATTAAATAAATTAAATTTTTTGATTGTGAATACAAAATGATTAATAAAAAAGAAAGTTTTGAATTTGGTGAAGAAATGGCAAGAACAATTTTAAAAAATAGAAAAAAATGTTGAAACCCCCGATTTTTTAATTGAACATTATAATACCTTTTCTTTTTTACTTTCTAATTTTTTTTTAGGTTTAATAAACATATTACAATTGTCAAAATTTAAATTAATTACCAGAAAAAATAAGTCTCATAGTAAATTTACTACTCCTTTTGATTCTGATAGTACTATTAAAACTAGAGTTTTTTTATGTTTATAGTTTTTCGTATTGCTTTTTCTGGTCTTCAACTTTGGCTCTCAACTATGCTTGCTTCACTTATAAGAAAACCAAAACTTACTTCACTTTTTCAACAATTACTTATTACAATTCATGCAGTTGCACATACTTCAAGACATGAACGTAGATTAGAAAATATTAGAATAATAATAGCAAATCCACGTGAAAGACTTTGGATAGGTGATGATATTTGAAGTATTAGAATAATTGATAATATAGATTTTAAAGAAAGAACTTTTGCTTATTCAAACATTTTTGATCAAACAAGAAGCACAACATATATAACACTACATATAGTATTTTAATATAAAATACCTATTTCATTTTCAATTCCTTTAAATAATATTCTTCCTATATCTAATATTTCAACTTTAAAACTTTGGGGCAAAAATATTAAATCTCAACAATTTATCCTTAATTTTTATCAAATTTTTGAAGACTTTTTACAATTTTCAGATTTATGAAATACTTTTAAATATTTTCAAGATTTTGATTTATCTGATATATATCAGCAAATTATTAGTAGTATAGAATTGGAATATCAGTTACCACCAGCTAATGTGATTATTTTAAAAGCTAGAAATAAACCAAATTCAAATGAAAGAATATTTGAAACATATGATATGCTTTTACAAGATTTTAATTTAGATAATAATAAAAATATAGATATTGTTTCTAATAAGGCTATTTTTTGAAGAACTATCATTAACTTAAAACCCATACACATACAAGAATAATCCTTGGTCAATGGCACACAAATAAAGATATGTATAGTATACTTATAATAATATTTTTAGGGTTTAGAATATTTAACTTAGCAGCTGCTTTAGAAACTAAATTTTTAGATAAATTAAAAGTAGTAATTGATTATCAATTTACTTGTTGAGTATTAGAAATGATTTGATTTGTAGTAGGAGTTGATCTTCATATTTATGTAAAAAAACATAATAAAATAATTGAGCAAGTAATAAATGAAAATAATTTACTAAAAACTTGGTTTTTTTATTTTAAGTAGGCTGGATGGTGAAAAAACATTGAATTGGAATCTGAATGGGTAATTTTGAAATGCAATATAAATAACTTATTGCATCACTTTTTCCTGTAGCTGGCAAGATTAATTATGCATCACCAGTTACTTTTTTTTAGCACATTTGGCAAAGCATCCTAAATTAAAAAATTGTTAAAATATGCTTATTCAATTAATATTAGTTGAGAAAAATATTTTTTTGCATTTGATGAGACCTTAGAAATATTTGGAGTCAAATATGTTAAACAAAATATATCTGAAAATCCCATTAATACAAAACAACTTAAATCAAATTAAAGCTATTCAAAGTAAAAGAGATCAAATTAATTTATTTTTATTTGAGTTTAGATGATAATACTATATGTCAAGATGATCAAGCAATAATATCTCATAAAGAAGTTATTTGGAATGTAATAAATCAACTTGTTATAGCATTTGATAATCCAAGTAATAATTTTCTCTTTCAAGATATTTCTGGATTATCTAACATGACTGCAGAATACACATTTGAGGGATGGGACAGATTATTTAATTGTTATTTAATTGGAAAAGAATATCTTAAAGCTGCCATACTAAAATAAGATGTTTTAAAGAGTGAAAAATGGGTTGCAACAGGTAGAAAAGCAAAAAATATTAGGTATTATACATTAGAAAGTATGAAAAAAGCACTGGTCGAAATCAAAAAAATCAGACATGTGATAAATTGTCTATCAATCGTCTGTCAATCAGACATAATCATCAATCAGCTAAAAATCAACCTAAATCAACCTGTCCGATTTATGGTCGATTAGAGTTAAGCCAAAATTTCAATTCCGATTGGTTCAATCGGATAATGCAAAAATTGTCTGATTGGAAACTTTGTCCTAAAGGAACAATAGAAATTGTCCTTAAGAGAAGATACAAATCGTTTCTAAGAAACGATAAAGATAATCATTCCATTTGGGACGATATATTATCATTCAAGAAGAACGATTTAAAAAAATCATCGCAAAGGGATGATATATTTATTGTTCAAGAAGAACAATTTAAAAATCGTCCCAAAAGGACGATAGATCTATCGTTTCAATAAGAACGATTAAAAATCGTCCTTTTGGGACGATGAATCATCGTTCTTATTGAACAATCAAAAAAATCATTCCAAAGGGACGATACATTACCTTTCATTAAGAACGATTTAAAAAATCGTCCCAAAGGGACGATGAATCATTGTTCATTAAGAATGATTAAAAAATCGTCCCTTTGGGATGATACATTATCGTTCATTAAAAATGATTTAAATAAATCGTCCCAAAGGGACAATACATCATCATTCATTTAGAACGATCAAAAAAATCGTCCCAAGGGACGATAGATCATCGTTCTTATTGAACGATTTAAAAAATCGTCCCTTTGGAATGATTAGAGCTCCGAACAGGTCGGGTCGGGTCGGGTAATTGACTTGACCCGACCTGATAAGGTCAGGTCGGGTCAGAC